GTTAAGTGAAGAATTTAGTCTCAACTTCTTATTTTTCTCATTACTTTTAATTTTTTCTTCATTTAAAAAAGATTCTTTCACTTTTTAACTTGTATTTTAGTTAAATAAAATGGTTAAATATTTGAAAAATTGGGTTTATTCTTACATCTCACCTAAATATATTAGTTATCTGTTATTTAGACACATGCATACATACATACATACTGGATTACTGGTTTTATCTCTTGGAAATGAAGAACCGTAGAATATGTTAGAGAACACATCTGATTTTTTCTTCCATATCTGATGCTTTTTATATTAGATTTATGAGGTGTCTAAAAAAAGAATTGTTTTTTATAATTAATAAAAATCAAGAGGCAGTATAATTCATCATGAATATCCTTTTTATTAGAACAGATATTCAACATACATCAAATAAGAGTTTTGTGTTCACTAATCTTCTACAAATAAGGATGTCTCTAGTTATTGTGTGGGGAATAGGCTCACATTTTCTGGTTTCAAATAGATGTCCATGTGTAACTTGCCATCTGGTCATTGTGTAAATAAAGCATTGAGAAAAGGTATCTGATCATAACATTCTAGTTCATAAGTGAATTGTTTGTCTCTATGAACTGAGTTTAATTTCTCATGAAACTGTTGATTGTAATTGTTATCACCAAGAAATAAGGTTGAACAAGCCATCAGCATATCGTACATTGATATTAAGTTTTCAGCCAACCTATTGATGAAATTATGTTCTAACTCATTTATGAAGATGTCACGAAAAAAGAGGACACAACAGATTACTTATTCTCAGGCCATAATTTTGTTGAAAAAATTGATATTAAACTGAAAATATGAGTTACTGACACATAGTTTAATTAAGTGCACAAGTTCACCTCATACAATAGGCAGGGTAAAATTCCATCTAAGCTTTTTATGTCAAAGGACACCATACATTTTTATTTGTTAATTTAATAACAAACTGTTTACAGTTTTTTTTACAGTATATATTTTTAAATCCATTATCGTTGCTAGTCTGCTAACTAAATAATTGGCCAAAGGATAGGTCTGGCTATTGTTGCAAGTAACAATCGGCCTGAAAGGTTAACCCTCTTCCTGCAGTTTGGGAAGAGAATAAAACTTGTGGGAGGAATAATATCAAAAGAGACATGTTTTAACTTTCTTGACTTCAGCTTAGAGTTTTGTTGAAATTTGTTTGATTGGATTGTATTTCAGTTTGGAATTTGAAATAAGGAATAACAATTTATTGACATAATCATTGTGCTGGATTTTGTTTAAAATTACAGTTTTTCCACCTTTGTTATCTTCATTTATAATAAGGTCTTTATTGTTCTGCAAGGTTTTTTGAACATCATATTCTGATTTAGTTCCACAATTCCCAGATGGCAAGTTATGCACAGAAGTTTGTGGGAAACCAGAAAGTGTAAGTCTATTCTCCAACAATAAATCTAGACATCCTTATTCAGACAATTGGCATATACAAAACTTATTTTCATATGTTAAATGTTTTTTACAACAAAAAATAGGGCATTCATTCTGAAGTAAACCACCTCAAAAATGTTGCTGTTTCTTAAGGATTTAATCCAAACTTAATAATTAATTTGTTCATTAAAACTTAAAAGATTAATAAGAAAGTGAACCAAATAACTGCAGATAGATTAATTGATGGTGGCGCTCATTTAATGATACTCTACAACCCCTTGATATCAAACTTAAATCAGCTTATAAGCCAGTGAACAATCTTCAAACTAAAATTCACATAGGGAGGGACAAGATAGAAAGCCATTAGAAATAAGGTATTTGTGACAATTATTGTTTTTCTAATGGGGCTTATGTTGGTCAAACAAAATCTATTTCAATGAAAGGAACATGAGAACAATGAAAAGAACATGTTATCGGAAAGAAGTTAAAAAAGATCAACTTTAGCATTACACATTCTCACAATGAACCACAAAATTCTTCCATCTTCACAACACAAGATAATCAATAGAAATATATAAGGGGTTGGTCAAATTGACTGACCCCATAACCACCATAATAAAGTACCCTTTTTCTTTCTAGAATGACTGCAACTTATACCATGAAACTACAATTGTTATCCTAAATTGCTTAAAGCTTGTAACAATATATATCTGTTTATACTTGATTTTATTATTTTATTGCCTTTTGAAGTGTGTGTAACTAATAATCCCACCAAATAAGTTGTAAATCACTTGGCAAATGTGTAGCTTACATTACTGTATCGAATTACATAATACATGAGCTCTTTGTGGGCATACCTCATGAATAATTTCTTTTTTTCATTATCTTACCTTACCTAACAGGTTTCAGATTTTTACATTTTAGTTATTTTTAAAACAGTAAGTAAAGAATACATAAGAAAAACAAGAAATATAGTACTTACCTGGGTCATTGTGTTTTTTGCTCTCAGCTGCCGATGAAATTTAAGCCTACTTTATTATAACAATGATACTGCTGCACTAAATAATTTTTATTTGATTAAATAATGCATATAAGAACAAAGAATAACTCATACAAAGCAGATAATGTCCTATAACTATAATAATTTATCTGACTTTCTAACTATGCAATAAGAACCTTTGAAAATTCATCGTAACTTGTCACTGTGAATATAATGAGAAAAAGTTTCAAACTGAAGGCAAAATAGACAATTCTCTGTGCAGAAAACAACATAATATATGTCATTTCATATATTGAAACTTTGGCTTTTTGTTGGTTATAAACAATATAATATAAAAATCAGAGACAACTATTAGAAATTTGTGGAAGGATGTAACAGGTGGTCATGGCACGTGGGTTTGATTTTCTAGTGTTTGGCTCCATTAGCAAATAAAATTGAAGGCTATAAAAATTTTCTTTGCCTTAGTAATATCTATAATATAATTAGTAACTTACATTAAATTTCATACTTTTCAGGGGGGTGGTAAATAAATTGGAGAAGAGGGAAGACCTAGAAAACAAATGTCACAGTTCTCATACTTGGAGAGATTGAAAATGATTTTAAATATTTCCTCATAAAATCAAGAACTTAAAATTTGTATGATATTAGAATTTCATTTATTAACTACATTTTAATGACAAGTTTATTTGGATACATTGATAATAAAGTAGTAAGTACTTAATTAAATTGTGAATGTAACTCTTTAAGAAATTGTGACATACACACTTTGACCTACCTGTAGCAAGTGGGTTAATAGGTCAAGAAAATATTATGAGCAGAAGAATATGAAATGTTATCTACAGTGTGTCGTAGTGATGAGTCATTATAATTTAGTTTTTGTAATAGTTTAGTCAATTTAAAAGAAAAAAAAGAATTATATGTTAGAATATTTCACAAACACAGTAAATAATAAATACTTTTGATACTTGTAAGAGAACAAACTTAGTTATACTTAATATTAAATGTTTTTATGTTGAAGAAGGCTTATTTATATCTTGTTAATGAACATTATTTTGAATCATCAGCATCAGTTCTTTCCAGACTTCAAGTGGTCTGCAGGGCAGCTATGAGGGCTCTCCACTGCATTTGGTCATCTGCCCATTATTCAACATCTATTTTGTCCAGGTCTTTATTTGTCATCTCTCTCTCTCTGTTTTTCAATACCAAGTATCTATTGGTCTTTCTTTAATGTTCTTCCAATTGGCCTCCATATCACTGCTTGTCTTGACAGTTTATTTTCCTTCATTCTTAGAATGTGTCAATAGTATCTCCATCTGTACAATTTGAGCTTTTCTATAATTGATTGTTTCCACCTCTCTCTCTCTCTCTCTCTCTGTCTTAATGTCTTTTCACTTGTATGATCAAAATATCTAATCTTCAT